AGAATTTGGGAATGGAAGGATTTGGGGACGTAGCGATTTGAGGACGCAGTGATTTGGGGATATACCGATTTAGGGATGTAGGCATTTGGGGATATATCGATTTGGGTATGTAAGAGTTTGGGAATGGAGGGATTTGAGGACGCAGTGATTTGGGGATATACTGATTTGGGGATGTAGGAATTTGGGAATATAGCAATTTGAGTATGTAAGATTTTGGGAACGGAGGGATTTGGGGATATACAGATTTGGGAATGTAGGACTTTGAGAATATACCGATTAGGGTACGTAAGAATTTGGGAATGGAGGGATACCGTATACGCAGCTCTTCTAAACATCTGGGTCAGCCTCTTCACGTCAACTCGTGGGTTGTCATCGGTACATACGAATACTTATCTGCGGAATTACAACATATCTCACTCACACGTTTACCTTTCTCACTCAAAATTCACAGTTGAACATTGGCTCTTCGACATGATTCGAAGGATTCGAAGGATTTGGGGACGTAGCGATTTGAGGACGCAGTGATTTGAGAATATACCGATATAGGGATGTAGGCATTTGGGGATATATCGATTTGAGTATGTAAGAATTGGGGAATGTAGGGATTTAGGGATATACCGATTTGAGGACATACCAATTTGGGTATAAACCATTTTTCTATTCTGATCAATTGAAGCCGTAGCTCTAAACACCTGCCTCAGCCTCTCCACGCGCCACCTCGTGGGTTGACACCGGTACATTTCCTTTAGAACAAAACTCTTGACTTTGAAGTCAAAGAGCTTCAAATTGAAATCATCCATAAATAATATTTCAAACAAGCAAAATTTTGTGCTTATTAAAACCACTACCTACCCGAAGTAGTAATTTAAATACGAGATATTCTGATGTATGATTAAAATATATTTTCAGCAAACGAAACGTTATTAAATCAGGTCATCTCAATATTGCTGACGAAATGGTCGATTTCAAAACATCACAAGTCTGATATAATTTGATGACATAGAAGTACCTCGTAGTAGTACTTGTGACGTATCAATCTGAAGCTTAAAGCCTGCTAAAAATGGCTACATAAACTTTTCATGGATGCTTTTAGTGCGATCTGGCTGGTTGTCAGAAAACCGTCTCAGCGATTATTCAGTGCAACGCGCAGAAAGGTTATCTGAGAATCGCATGTCATATCGAGAATTTTATAGAGATTTCTATAATCGTATTTAGCGAACGTTAAAATTCAATTTGATGTAATATGAGTGTTACTTAACGATAGTTTTATCTCTTCAAATTGTGTCAGACTTTAGAGGATCGACAGATTGCCATAATTGGAAAGCAGCCATTCTATATGCAGAATATTAACAAAATGATATTGCAGTAATTTTCGTTGAAACTTATGCTTTAAATTGATGTTATTTTACGGTGATTTTATGTCATCAGATCCTGTCGGACTTTCGATATTTCGAAATCGTTCATAATGGCCTAATGCACGATATGACAATTCAAATGGAACAAAATGACTTATATGACTTTATTACTTACATTTAGTTCATTAAACAGCAACTTTTTATAAAATAATATTGATGGATTATGCCACTTTCATTAAAGTTATTTGTTAAGTTTTAAATTGACGTGGAACAAGTGATATTTCAAGACACTTGCGTCAGACTCCAGCTTTGAAATCAAGCATTTGTGTAATTAGCGAATTTATATTAAGGAGGGGTGTTTTTAAATTCGGTCAGTTTCAACCTAATAGAGATAAGAAAATATATGATTAAGGATAAACAGATTTGGTTTCAAGTTATTTTCATATTGCAGAGTGAGTCACGCAAGTGGGACTTGTATCTCGAATTTGATTAGAGATCACAAAAAAGTTGAATGGTAAGATACTGTCATTTTTTACACGAACACTGTGATACCCAAACAATACAAATATTTGTCTATAAATAAAATTGTGTATTTTTGATTATGCAATTTTTTCAAGTGTGCAATATTTCGTGTAAAGACGTGATAAGTTAGAATATTTAAAAAATCAATATTTCGTATGATGTTTCACTTTTCTCGTACGTAGTGTACTTCACTAAAGGTGTTCTTCCCATACTAAGCATGTATAGCGTTACTTTATGTTTTTTTACATTATAGTTAATGTGACTACTGTTTATGTTTGAACAATGCAGTTCAATTTATTCTTTCGTGTGCCTCTACAGAAACAAATGGGATGCACTTATCTATGAAAGAAATACATGTCGAAAGATAGAGAGCTATTGAAAGCTATGATAACGTAGAGCTTTAGGTCCGTATAGTATATTCATGACGCTGAACAATATGTTTTAAACCATTCGTCAAATTCGTTGTAATTACAATACCAATGTATACCAATTGCAATATATACAAATGCACATTCTTTATGAAACGTTTAACGTTTGCTATACTACACAAAATACGGTGCCTTCCACTACTTACACAGAGTGTTCCACTTAACACAAGTAAGAAAAATTACACAATTTGATTAAAAAATAAGAGTGCATTCGTATTTTTCAGGTACGTCATTTCTTAAAAATAATAAAATCACAAAAAGCAAATACTATGTCACTAAACTTTACTTTTAACATTTTATTTCTACAGCTTCTGAAATTCGAGATATAACTCGACTTTGATACGTGAAGCATCCTGTATAATACGTAAAAAGAAAAAATTTATTCGAAAATAAACTGAATTATACCGAAACAGCGTCAACCGAGGTAGCGTTAAAAGGGGTGTTTTACTGTATTCGTTTATTACACCTCGCAATCGTGAGCAGACTAAGCCTAAGCTCTTTTTACCGTGTGAGTCATATTTTTTTTTAATTTACAGGCCAACAGCTGAGTCTTTTGTTCTCTTTTTTTCCCCCAAAAAATCTTGCTTTTAAAAATGACTGCGCATTCAGGTGGTCCTAAGCGGGTTAATAAAATTTCTTTTTATTTATTATCCTCGAATCTGCGTGAAAGCATGATTTGCTTGACTCTATCATCATCTTAAAAGTTGTGATGAACAATCCATTAACGAAATCGTAGACGTTTATGTATTCCGGCATGATATTATCGTAAACGAATATTTTAAAAAGCGAACGAACAAATCCGTAATATATGGCTACTGTTCTTGGCCCCTCGTATAATTTTATACCTTTTAGCTTCAGTCACGAGATTGTCGAAACGGATCGTTTTGATTTTCAAATCATTAATTTAATTATAAACCGTTTATCTTCTTTGATCGTGAGAACGGCGCGAAAAATGCGGTTTTGATATTTAAATTTTTTAACAGCAAAAATTTTATTTAATTTCTATTCAAATTGTTTGAATATTGAATATTGATTATTGCATTTTTAAAATGTTTTAGCGGAAAATGAATTAGTTTACAGCAACGCTATTATGTATAATGGGTACCAACGACTCTTGTTATATTGCAACGTAGCATTTGGCAACATAGGGAGAGGTTCATGTAGCGCTTGAAAAATTGCAAGTCTAATAATTTAAAAATTTTCTCAGTTGAAAGATTTGTGAGTTTTTATTATAAAGATTTAATTCAAGATTAAATTAAAATATTTTTAAATTTGAAAATTTCTAACTCTGAGTTTGTGATTTTGAAAATTTATAGGGTTGTACGCTTGATATTTAGCTGTATGTAAAGCGTTTTATAAACTCTTATGTAGTCCACAATTTCTGGATGTCTAAAATAATTTGTGAATTTGTAGAGTTCTAAATTTGAATATTTCTAAAATTATGAGCTGCTAAACCTTTGGTTTGACAATTTCCGATTTCAGGAATTTGTAAATTTAGAGTTTGTAATTTTGAAAATTTCTAACCTTGAGAATTTAACCTTGGAAGTTTGAAGATTCCTACATTTCTAAATTCGATGGTACATAAATTTGTAGATTTAAAGATTTCTAAGTTTCTAAATCTTAGAATTTTCTAAGTTCCTAAATTTTTAAGTTTCTAAATTTGTGAATTTATAACTCTGAGGATGTGTAAATTCAAAGATTTCTACATTTTAACTTCCAAAATTTCTAAAGGTCCAAATTAAAAAATTTTTACAAAATCTGTAATCTTGAAAATATACAGATTTATAACCTAAAAATGTTAAATTCAAAACTCTGAATTTCTGAAATTCGCAATTTGCGAGTTTACACATTTGAAAATTCGAGTTTTTCGCGCGGTGCCCGAGGCAAGTGACTACGCGCCGCGCTAAGGCGGCATCAAATTGAACAAACGATGTTTAATGTAACCGAAGGCAAATGAGTATAAATCTAGCAAGAAAAAAGTAAAATGCGACGGCGATTCAGGTTTAGCTCATTTTTAACGCGTATCTAACTTTCCATCTGCCTATCCTCACAGTATTATATTACCGAATCGTGGTTTGATTTACGAGTGTCGTAAATCAGTGAACGTTCAAGCAGAAACTTTGCCAACACTCGGTACCCTCAAAATAGTTTACAGGAGTTAAAGCGTAAGACGCGAAATACATTCCCGTCGCGATTAACGAAAAGTCGACAGCCAAGATTAATGTTCTGTCAAAAAGCTCTCGTCTCTCCAAGTAAGTATGTTTTTCTACATCATGGCTCCTTTTTGCAGTCGACAACATTGAATCACCTTTGTATTTCACAGCACAAACCTTTCGAGAGAACATTTTAGTTGCGAATTCAATAGGCCGAGACAATTTCTGGCATATAATTCGACAGGTTATTAAATGGTAAACCTTACGTAACGCACGCTTCCTGTGTTACGCAAATATTCACATTCAAATCTTGTATACTTCGAAACACATTAACCCTCGAACGACAGACTCCAGATCGATCACGACACAATAAACATACAATGATACATGGACTAAAATTAGTTAGAAAAATGTTTCAGCGTAAACACGTACTAAAAAATAATATTTATAGTATCGTTAAAAATTTGAATATAAAATAAAATGTCTGAACCGGTCGTCCGAAAGTGACAAAAAAGAACGGGAAATAAAAACATGAGCCTAACCGTAGTAGGCAGAGGTGTAAGATATTCCGGACGGAGGTACTGATTCGCGCTGGAAGTCAGCATCGTAAAGAAAAATGTTCGCCCTGTTCCTTCTGCGCCAACTTCCCTCGTAACAGATAACACTGTGATCACTCGCGACAACAGATCACCGAGGACTGACAAATGTAACCTCGACAGATCGGAGCAAACACTGTCGTGCTATTTCTTTTATATCCGTCGTGGTGAAACAGCGAAGACGCACAGATGAGAAGCCATTTAGCTTCTAACGACGTATTCCTTGCGCGCACACACAATTCCCTTCCGATGGACAAAAGGCACACACGTACGCACACACGCGGATACAAAGGAAAATGAACAAAAAGGAGATAGACACGGTACGCGGTGCGATATCCGCGACATTCACCTAACACGACCGGCTTCGAATCACGACTAAAGCCACTTCGTGTACTCATCTGTCGACCGAGCCTTCCCGTTATCCCCACCACGCTATTGACGAGCATTCAGCTGACTTACCCTGCCACACCATGCTCCCTCGGAGAAGCTTACCCCATCGCTGCTCAGTCGGTATAGTCGGTTCAGAGGTTATACGGTCACCTCTCGATATAAGAGAACTTGGATCTGAACTTTTATTTATATAGATCTTACATTCATTGATGTCGATATAGTCGGTTCAGAGGTTGTACGATCACCTCTCGATATAAGAGAACTTGGGCCTGAACTTTTGTTTGTATTTATTGATATGTCGAACGTAGAAAAGGATAGCGAGCGAAGAAACGTCCGGAGGACCGAACATAAACATATTGGTGGCACAATTCTAATGCAAGAATACTTTTTTATTTTTTACCTGCATAAACTTATAAACTTTTAACCGCATATTATTATATTTTCCTAGATATTAGGGAATATATTGACTTGTAATTTCAAGTGTTTCGCTTATATCGAGGTCTTACTGTAGTGATGTCCGCATACATATATGGCACCATTGTTAACAGCGTATATGGTCATATATCCGAAGAGAATTGACGTTATCTAACTCTACATTTTTTACATGTTAATAATTAATTAACATAACTGTAAAAAATCCTGAATAATTCGCAACTATACTTGGATGAAAAATGATTATTCAAACTTGACACAAAATTGTGTAATTTTATGATGTTGCTAAAATAAATCTGAAATACATATAAAATGAATTGTATAAATAATTTTTATAGCTTATTGTAGTAAAAGATAACTTTATTGTGTATTATATTCCTTGATTTTTCGATACATTTTAATTTATTTATTGCTAGTTTTATTTTATCCGTTGTTATTGAGTTAGGGATTTATAATGTACACATATGTTATACTATTGACATTTTAACGTTGTTAAATTATTTCAAACGATGAGTTAAGGTAATATAAATACAGATGGAACAATAACTATGATCTGAATTATTACATCGTTGGCTTAGTACATAAATACATCCATATAAAGTATTTAAAAAAAAGAATTTGAAGATTCAATAATACTTTATATTAAATAAATGTTTATAGCATCGTATTTATTATCTTGCAAATTTTTGAAACAATTGTTCGTTTTTCCACTTCGCAAACAAGCGACAATTTATTTTTTCCCACTTCACGCTGAATATTACGTAAACACATTCGCTTGATTTACGAAATGAAAGTTTCGATTAAAACGCGCTATACTATTTCAACGAAAAGCAATTATAGATTAAAAAAAGCGTAGAATACAAGTACTGCAATCGCTGTGAATATGTTAACAATCTCGTTCAGTTTAAATCAGAGTTTAGTGAAAACAGGCTACAAATTACCTCAGCTATTCCCATTTTATCTTCTTGGTAGAAAAGGTAGCCGAGTAGTTGTTAGATACGAGCAGTTTCCACGGAAGAGCATTAGCGGCGTTATTAGCGCTAGTTAGAGGATACGCTTTGGTGAGAGATGAGAGCGCTGTATAATTATCCCAGCCTTCCCTTCTGTCTATGTGGACGAGGACAACATGTTTATGTGGCGCCGACCAAAGAAACACTCACAGCTCTCTACTTCCACCATTCATGATATGTGCTAGACGAGCCGACGATGACGCGTCTTTGCCAGTATATGACTCGGAACGAGTGATCGGTAATTTATAATTCCTAACTAGCGACTTTCCATGCTACCTAAGTACCTGCTTATTTCTCTCGTCGTTTACATCCGAAACCTTTAACTCTGGAAAGCCAGCGCTTTAGATAGCCGAAAGCAATAAAACCAGGAGACGATTAAATTTTCTAAATTAACGTCGCGCTACGGCTAGCGGTAAACTAAGTTTAGGACCTGAGTGAACTAAAATGAATGTCGACTCTTTCGGATTTATAACCCATTATTTTGTCTTCGATATCGATCAATATGATCTTCAAAGTTTAGTTTGTTTTAGATGTAGTACTATAGAATGTTGTGTAAATAGTGGTACAATTATTGTACATACAATATACAACAACAAATAGTGGAACAATTATTGTACATACAATATACAACAACAAGTAGTGATGCAAATATTGTTATACAATATACAACAACAAATAGTGATCAAATATTGTACATACAACGTACAGCAACCAAAAATGGTACAATTATTGTACATGCAATATGCAACAACAAATAGTGATATAATGGCATGAGAAAATAAGTTGAAAATGTACAATAAAATTTGTTCATGTAAAAATTTGTTGTCAACCAATTGGTTTTAATTAAACTTCTTCGTAATTCTTCAATTTTACAATATTGCAACTGTATACCATTGTTATTTTTAATATCTCAAAGAATATCTTTGTTTAAAAATTTTGTAAAGAATCTAAAAAAATGTAATCAAAAAAGTAAATAAACATTCATTAAACTTTGGAAAATAATCAAATGTAAAACGCATAAAGTATTTATTAATTTGTCTTCTTCGTTGAGCAAAATTATATGTATGCCCACGCGAGCGCCATTTTCTGCGGTATTCGTGACGGAATAAAAAGAGTAAGAGTCTGCAAAAACCTGTTGTGCTATCTGAATCATGTCACTGTCAATGTTTATAAATTCTAACATGGACAGGAACAATCAGTAACGGAATGGCACGTCAACCAAGTCATATTCAGTCGTACGCATTTCTGACAAATTTTCAAAATCGATTTTCTTGAAAATAAAACGTCAGGCAAGAAAATTTCATATGACATTTTTTCTTTGTTTTTTTCATATGCAATTTTTGTTTCATTTTGTATATTACGACTTGACTTTGCAATTACGTGCTTGAAAATATATGTGTAGATACATTTGTACATATATTAATTAAAATAATAACTTTGCGCATATGTAACATTCTATAATGATGCAAGGTTATTGAAAAAGCTATTGCTGTTTTAAATATTTAAAAACATGTAAATTGCACTAAATGATAAGCTATGTACGCTTGTTTTTCTTGTTGTTTGAGCAAGAAAAGTGTTTTCACATTTTTCTATCAGGTTATTCAGTAAAAGAAGTAAAGGTCGCGATGTTTTAACAAATGTTGTTTTATACATTCAGTTTATCTTGGTAAGTTTATCTAAAATAATTTATTATTATTTCACCACCTAATAACAAGATTTTGACCACTGTTGAAGAAGATTAAAATTAAAGAATTTTGAAAAAGATTTTAAAGAAAGTTACAGTGGTGGACAAAAACATTGACATACTCTGTAAAATAGACCTTCTCCAATTTTTTAGTATCAGTATATCTTATGTAAATATACTAAAAGAATTTTGTATGTTACCACTATAGGTTCATGTGAAAAAGTTATAACAATCAATCACTATACTTTTCGCTAATTCGACTAACTTCAAATATACGAAAACATATCACTCATAAAATTACTCTATCTATTTTTTCAATCAAACTGATGTCTTTAAAATAATTATAAAAGCCTTATTCTGTATTCAGGGTTGAACAAGCTATAAAATACAAAGAATTATAATAACACCTCCAATTAGATTACTGAAATAATATTTTACGAAATGTGGCTTCATATAAACATTAATTTTTAAAAGAAAAGTAATTTCATCCAAATTACAGTTCTTTTTATCTCTACTCCTCAATTAAATCGCGACACCCTATATTAAACTCAGAATTGTCGAGAAATCACATTTGAAGCGGCAGATTAAATTAACTGAGTTAATAACACACAATTCCGTGATCAATACGAATTATGTAAATCAATTTGTCTGCATTGCACGTGTACGTGCGGTGCAATCATATAATTCTGTGAATAGTAATGAAGGGAATTGTAACACTCGAATTTCCATGAAACAATTGATATGCATTTCGATATAGCACGAAACCCATCCATGTATGCGAACGTATCCCATTGCCATTACCACTTCAATCTATTTCAGCCAAATTCATTAATCACTACAATATGCATTCGACCTGGTGTTACGTATGCATTTAAAACATATCCGGTATATTTATCCTACAAGCAATCTCTCATACGTATATGTAACACTTCGAATCTATCCTTTTCTTGCCTATTCATTTTACGTAATGTTAATACGAAAATATTATACACATCGTTGAAGAAAGTTTCGTTTATCGCAACCTATAAATCTTCAATCAAACTGTCACTTATAGGGTGAAAGTTTAATAAATTAACATTAGTTCTACTTTTTCGTTGAGTATAACGAAGTATACAACACGCGAACAAGTTTATTTATTCACGTTTTTATATATATTTCAATTTTTACATAACTCGATATTAATTCAACTTTGCATAACACGTTCAGTTTACAGATTGATTTACTTGTTTTGAAATCGCCTGTTATGTGATGAAAATAAGATTTAAAAAAGTGAGGGTGAATCGCAATTTGTGGTCATGCGAAACTTATTAACGTTTATCGGATTTTTTGTGGCAAGCAAGTTCCTTAAAAACGGAAATAGATTTTCAAGCTATGTGTGCGTCGATATTAGCATCGATTATAGTAATTTAGAACTTCAGCACCGTAAATTTCAAAGTACGTAAATTGATTAATCGCCAAGAAATTTCGAATGATGGAGAATCTATGAAAATCACGAACTATCATCCCCATATATTTTGTCGTTAAAGAGGATACTTATCCAAAGTTATTTCTAAGAATAGGTTCTGGTCGTTGTGGCGGTGATTTCTCACATGTCTCCGCAGGAAACTAGTCGAGAGTAGATAATCACCCTCCGCTCACCGCACATCGATCAGCTGAAGCGTAAACACGATTAGTATAACGTACAGCTAATCAACTAATCCCGCCACGTCGTCGATGAGCACGATTCGTCCCGTAGGATTGCTTCCTGCTTACTGCTCTTCGTTACTTGTTAAACTCTATTTTCAGACATTTTATGCGAATCAGAAAATTCATAGTTATCTCATCATTTAGGTAGCCTAACTATAATATCTTATTC